AAGCATTTTTCAAAACATTTTAAACATTTTACAACCCATTTGAATAATGCCTTAGCCTGGCGTGACCATATTTCCCAAAGGGAAAATGGGACACTGCATGGGGCTGGCCCAAGTCCTTCCCCCCTCCCCCATCTGGGGCTGGCCCAAGCCGCTCACCCTCCTCCCCACCTGAGCCCTCCCTCAGGCAAGGCTCAGGTGAGCAGTGACGCACATACTAGATAGGGTGACCATATTTACCAAAGGTGAGGGCTTGTGTCACTACTCACCCAAGCCCTGCCTGCCCCCGCGTCTGAGCCCTCCTCCTCCCGCCCCCCCGCGCAGGGCTGGCATCACCACTTGCCCCCTTTTCCCCCACGTTCCTCCACACCCCACTTTGTGACAAAAGTGGGCACTTGTCCGGTTTGCTCTCACCAACTGATCAAATTGGCAAGAGCAAACCGGACAAATGTCCACTTTTGCCAAAGAAGGTGGGATGACCGGAACAGGGCTTAAAAAAGGCTTGTGTTACCTTGAGCTGCTTTAGGGTGAAGTCTCTCTGGCATTGGCAAGTGAAAAGTTAAAAGCAACACTGTCAAGTCATTTAGACTCCGAATTTGACCCAAAACCTGCCAGGGAAACCCTGCCGTATTCAAAAAAATCTGTAACAAAATCACATCACTCAGATATTATTTTCTTTAAAAAGCCATGGTCCTTGGAAAAGGATTTTCTAGCAATTTAGTAGATCTCCAGCATAAATCCTAATAAAAATATCTCTTCAATGCAAGCTGTTTCTAATGAAGCCATTGAAGTTATTCTTCTGGCTGCATCAGCTGGACATGCATCCTGTCAGATGTGATGCGTGACTAATGCTTCTGTTTACTTCAGGAGCACCAGCTATTTGGCTTTGTAATTCATCCCTCTGTATTGATTTCCACAGTGCAGACGCTGGATTGTTACACCACTGTAGCTGAACTGTGTCCGTTCAAAAAGCCAGCAACTCATTGTCCAAGGTAAGCTGCATATCTCAAGTATGATGCTATTTCCTTTGACCTGTACTGGGGTAAGGAAAAGAGGAGCTGAAGGACTGGCTGGAGATACTGAATGAATCCGATTTGAAGATTATAAACTAAAGTTATAGATTATGTCAGATTCACTGGGATAAAGGTTAAATGAGGGAGCTTTTTTCACATCCAAAACAATATGCTATATGAATAAAATCACCTGTTTTCACAAACATGTTTGTGATCTGAGCATACCCTCAACACTGGCATACAAACAAGTGCCAGGATTTTAAATCCGTTTTTTTGTGGGTTTATTACTGATTTTTTTACATGCTTCAGCAATATAAGAGGGTCCGAATAGAAGACCCCCCCCCTCAAATTGGCTTCAATATGTGCATATGCAACTTTTCACACTTTGTTCATTCACATGCACGTGCAGTTTTGGGACACTATCCCTTTTATGCCCAAATGATAAAATTTATACCCACAAAACCACCTTCCTCTTGAGCCTCACATGCGAACGAGCTTTGCTCATGGAAATTCCATCAGGTGCATGCATGAATGATGAGGGGCAAAAAACTCCACCTGCAAACGATTGTATGTGTGGGGCCGGGCACAAGGACGGAAGCTACGCTTGGAGAATTTGGCCCAATGGCCTTCATTACCTCCTGTCTCACTGGCCTAAAAGAGTCTCGTTTGCAGCTGTGTAGTCACTATTGAGTTTCAGCTGAAAGAGGGGCAAAAAGTGTCAGTCAGCTGCTGCCACCTGCAAACCAGATGCTGACCCTTGAAGGCTTCCTTCCAAGAGCTCAAGAATGCAACTTGTTTTTCTCTTATTCCTTGATGTAGCGAATAAATATGAATAAAATGTTTTTCAGGGCTTATTGTCCAGCTCACTGTAAAGCTGAACCAGCGTACTGGGCACCAGTCTTTGGCTCCAAGGTTTATGCAGATGTGAGTATTCCACTTTCCTATATCTCTCCAACTAACAAGGTGACAGTATTGAAATGAGTGGATCCCAGGGTCATTTAAGAGATTCATATTCCATGAATTAGGAAGGTCAGAATTACAGATACTCCCTATAAATAATAAGGAAATACTCTGCCAGCACATGGGATAGAAATGTCCCTTGCATTAGTTGGACACATTGATTAAATGTATCTAATGTTGTACTTCAGAGTCAGCATTATGGATAGGGCATCAGGAGACGGGTTGCACTCCCATTTCTGGCACTGATTTGCTCTGCAGCCTTGGGAAAGTCACTTAACCTCTCTGGGTTTTTGTCTGTAAAATGGGGTTGATGCTTGTCCAGCATTGTAAAGTTTCTTGTGGGGAGGCATAGCTCAGTGGTTTGAGCATTGGCCTGCTAAACCCAGGGTTGTGAGTTCAATCCTTGAGGGGGCCACTTAGGGATCTGGGGGCAAAAATCAGTACTTGGTCCTGCTAGTGAAGGCAGGGGGCTGGACTCAATGACCTTTTAGGGTCCCTTCCAGCTCTATGAGATAGGTATATCTCCATATATTATATACAGATGAAAAGCAAATAGCTTTATTGTTACATATGTTATGTTATTACTCGACATAGCTTGCAAAAATAGATTTCCCCCCCTTTCTTTTCTGCAAGTAGAATATGATTTGTGAGCAGTTGTTGTGGAAATGAAGAATGTGGGTGGCTGGTTTTTTTTGTTTTGTAGTTCTGTGAACAGCTGTAGAGTTGATGTGAATGGACAGAGGTTAAATGGCAAAAAATAACCTAATGGACAGATGCAAATGCAAAGGAACATTTGTTTTGGTCACCACTTAGAGATAGCATGTGTCTAAAATCCACTGACAATGCAGGCTTAGTATAACTTCACTGCTCTTATGGCTCAGTGTCCACATGGGACAGGTGCAAACATCTTTTCAAACTCCTGAGAAATGATAAAATCTGCTCCACTTCTTTGTTGGTGGTTTGGTGAGGGTCAGTGTAGAGTCATTTTTTTGACTTAAGTACTTTTCTGGTGGTTAGCACATTTTTGGAAAATATTCCTAGCAGGATCATCGGAGTATACGAAATGATATGCTTGGTATTGCTTTAACCATTCAATATTTGGTTGTATCAACCCTTCCTAAACTTCCACCTAGAAAGAGAGTTTTCAATTTGGGAGGGGGAGCGGTCTAGGTTACATTTTTGTTTATTATGTATATATATCCAGATCAATAAAGAAAGAAAATGAGCATTAGAGATTTGTTCTGGAGTTTGCGGGCCTTGGAGGAGAATTGCCTGTTGTTTTGTTGTTGATAGTTAGTGGAGTTTTTTCCTTTTTACCTTTGTAGTCACAGGCAGCATTAGGAAAAACACAGAGGAATTTGAAATTGGTGCCAGTTGTGGTTTGGCCTCAGAACTGGCACAGGGTTAAATAAGATTGCCTCTGCAGGATCCCAAGAATAACAATTTCATTGGGCAAATGATCAGGTAATTAACTGATCAGAAAAACATCACGCAACTATTTCAGTTGTTTATATTTTTATAAAACTATATGAATAAAGTCTCATAATTCCATGCCAGTTTTCTGTTTACTCTATTCATCTATTAGGGCAATGATTCCATTGCCTGTTTAGATATAGAATAAGCCAAAAAATAGCATGTAATTGTGATAATAAAATATTACGTTTCTAGAACACCTTTTCCCCCAAACTCTTTCCAATATATATATGCAGGAAAGATTTCAGATATCTCTGAAAAACAGCCACCCCTCCTGGGAACCAGAGCATGTGCTCTTTGTGTGTATTGGATAAGCACAGGAAGTAGAGAAGAATACAGCATAAGGGCAGGAAGTAGAGAAGAATGCTATCCAGTAGAAACAGCCGGGAAAGTTTTAGTGGGATGAATGTAGGGTGACCAGCTGTCCCGATTTTTATAGGGACAGTCCTGATTTTTGGGTCTTTTTCTTATATAGGCTCCTATTACCCTCCTCCCCTTGTCCCGACTTTTCACACTTACTGTTTGGTCACCCTAGAAGAATGTGGCTATCCACAGTAGATCTGCAGCAGGAGGAGTGGTGAAGAATGTCATGAGATCTTTGAAGGTCACAAGCACTCAAGACCTCAATTTTGCATCTGAACTGAAAGAACTCCATGGCTGCTAAGATGTCCCTGAGGCACTAATTAATTACCACCATCTCAATCCCGTATAATTTTATGATTTATACTCAGAGGCACTAGTGTCCTGGTTCACAAGCCCCACTTCTTGTGAATCTCTGGGTTTGGGATTATATAAACTGAGGCATGGAATGTGATTTGGGGAAAAAATACTTTACTGCTCTGTCAAGGATTTGTTGGATCTTCGTTAGACTAGTATGGCCAGGGCGTCAGAGATGACAGGGTCTAACAAGGCATGTGTTGAAGGGTTTAGGAGCGTTAGCAGAATGGCAGGAAAAGACAGGACTAGAGTTGGTAGAGAAGAAGGGCTTGAGGAAGCTGTGGCAGAAGATTGTAAGCACAGTGAGGGGTACAAATAGAAAAGTTCTTTGCGTTAACGATAAATCCGAGGACTGGAAGGCTGACAAAATAAGCAAACGTTCAGTGCAATGAGAATTTAGTCCAAAGCTTTTCCCATAAAGGGTACTGCATGTGTGGAATGCTCTGCAAGAAGGCATGCAATGAAGTAGCATAAGCCACAAATCAGAAGAAAAATTAAAACAGATAACAAACAAAACTAGACAAGTGCTAGTCTTCTCATATGCCCTGTGGATTCCCATCCATAAAATTGCACCTTCATGGGACTTGGGTATATATGTCACAGACTCTGTCCTTTTTAATAGCTTAACTAAAGAAAACAAAGTATTTTCCCCCATTGAGTTTGTACTCTTGCACTCTCTGCCATGTTAGCAGCACATCCAAAACCCTGACCTGCAGAATGGTTTGGCAGCAGAGGAGTTAATGGGGAAATAACTTATGGGCATTAGCATCATAAAATCACTACTAAGTAGGTAGCAGAATCCAATTCAATGAGCTTGTAACCTTCTGGTCCGCCTTGGAGAGCTTCAATGTTTACATGATCCCAGGATGCATCTGAAAGTTTGTTTTACCACAGAGAACAAAGCTCCAACATCAGGAAGAAAGGATTTTGGCTGTACTTGGTTCTACTTGGGTTAGTCCATAGCCCCAGGATTTTGGGATTTTAACAGCTTTAAAGAAGATTCTGTTTTCTTCTCATAGAAATAAGGATGCTATTTTAGGTTGCGTGATGTCAAGGGCTTGGGAAAGGTATGTTTATAGGAAGTGAGGTCAATGTACTTTTGGAAACCAACCAAAGAGGCAAAGAAGCCAAGGTACTCATGACCAATGACCTCTAATGCGTTGCTGAAGTGTAATTGCTAGATCCTTAAAATGTGCATGATAAATTGTGGAAGCAAACAGTAAATAGAAGGAGGAGGAGCCAAATGCACGTCATCAAATCCAGATGTTCTGCAGCTCTGCTAAAAGTTATTTCCAATGTAGAAAAAGATGTTCCATGACCTTGAGGAAAGCAGGACACTGACTGTGGTTAAAAACAGACAAATGGAAGCACACGCACAACTCTCCCCTCCCTGGCTTCAAGCATAAAATGATTTGTTAGGCCCACGCATTGATGTACCTTAATACATGGGCATGTGCATTAAATGGATGAAGCACCAAAAGCCGGAACAGGTGCATTTGTGAGGGTTTCCAAGAAATAGAAGGGTTAAGAAAAGTCAGAGCTTCTTTACAATAGGTTTGCAAAGTCAAGTGGTATATAGGGGACATGACGGAGCAATTGTCAATACCCTTTCAGCAGGAACCAGGTGGCCAACAAACTCCATTTTATATTGCTTCAAAAAATCCATCTGTTTCTGCTGTGTCTAACAGTCTTGCTGTTTTGGGGGACAGATGGCTGGGCATCTTGGACACTGAAGCTGGGCTAAGCAATGATCAAATTCTCATCTTGGAAAGATCACAAGAAATGCACACATCACTGTCCAGTGAAATAGAATAAATGGACGTCATTGACTCTTTCCACGTCTGAGAGAGAAACCAAATAACTGTTTGGATTAAAACCGGATTGGGTAGCCAAGTTTACTGTTAAAAGTTTGGGACGGGGATCATTATGGGCTGAGACAGAAACATGCCCTCATTTTCTATCGAAGCTAACTTAGCCTTCCACCCCTCCCCACAAAATGACTTTGCTGTGAGGGGCACCTGCGGGCTGTTATACCGGGATCTAATTTTGGTTGTTGGGTTTAGTGTGTGGGTGCTGAGTGGAGCTGATGGTCTGTGATATACAGGAGATCAGACTAGATGATCTGGTGGTTCCTTCTGACCTTAAACTCTCTGACTGGTTTAGTCTTAGTGTCCCAAACAAAAATATTGATGATTTTTCATTCTTTATCAGCAATAACATCACTTATTTCCCATTCCAATTTGTTCCAGTTTCCATCGGTGCTTCCTTTTTGAATGGGGCTGGCTTTCATACAAACTGTATCCTGAAAGGCCTTGTTGAGTTAAGCAATAGAAATGCAGAGATAAATAATATTGACGGAAGAAGGAAATGAACTGGCACAGCCAAAGAGGAAGGTGTTATATTCATGGCATACACGCAGAGAGTTAGGAACCCCCTCTTCACACACACACCCCGTTCATTTATACTGTTCCTGGAGGGTTGCAAGATAACACTACTTTATTTCTTAGAATCCAGAAACCTAACACAGCAACAACCAGAAACACACACAGAGAGAGAGAAAGCAGGCTGCCCTCTAAGGCAGAGAGGCACAACTCAACCCACCTTTGCTCCAGACTGGCTCTTTATCAGACTGACTGCTGAAAGAGCCAGATTTCAGGCTTCCCTACACAGCCCCTTAGCCTGGAAGCAGAACCAGGAACCCCCTTACAACTTAAAGTGATAGCTTATAATTTTAACACAGGTTTCAATACACCACAGAAGGGAGGTGTTTCAGTTGAGATCTGAAATGAGGCAGAGGGAAGCAAGACTGTTCCAGGCAGCAGGACATGCAAGGGAGAAGGCTCTTGCACTAACGATTGGCCAGACTGTATGGAGGGTCAGAGAGAGGAGACTAATGTTAATACTAGCTGTGCGGGAGGAGAATGGAAAGATTGCTGGCCTATATTCTGTGGTGATGGACATGCTATACATAAGTTGCAAGGTGAACCTGCAAAGGATTGTTTTAAAGAGGGATTTGTTTCTTTATAGTAGATAAAGGGGCCCCGCAGGGATTTTCCCTCCCCCTATTTGTTTTTACCTTAGAAATATCTGCCATTTCATTGCTGGGTTTGCAGGCGGCCATTTCTCACTGAAGTTAATGAGAGCTACAGGTGCGTGGTGCTGCTGGAAATCAGGTTGCTTTTATTTTAGGCACCTAAATGTGGCTGTAGGATCTTAAATGTAAGTGCCCAGGTTTGAAAATGTTGGCCTGGTTCTTTGTAGTGGTTAAAATAAAAGGTTGGATTGTTCTCGTCTGCACCTTTGTTTATTCTGCGAAGACAAATTCCACTGTTGCTAATGCTGAAAGGAATGTCTCTGAGGCTGTGGGCTGTGTGTCAGGCAGGGATCTTTATCAAAGCTATGTGAGAGCTTTTACGAAATGCAGGAGCATTGGGAAATGTATACATAACGAATCGGGCAATCTTCTTGCTTGGTTCATGGTGAGACTTGCGCTTGAAAGGGAAATGTGTGTCCCATTCATGTTCAGGAACCCTGAGGAGATGAGAGAGAGAGACTGTCTCTCTGCTGTTGTGAGATAAAGGTTGTTTAGTCTCCAGCAGTCTCATTTGTGAGGCAATTAGCTGGGGAGAGATTTCCTGAAGAAGGAAGCCTGCATAACGAGGCCGATTTTTATCACCAGTGGAAACCACAGAGTGTTGCTGAACCCCCGAGGAGGAACACATCTTTGTTTTCAGGCTAGTCACACTAAATGGGGACTTGATGGGTGACTTACAGCTTGTCTACACTTGGGTTGCTACAGTGGCACAACTTCAGTGTAGACACTGCCTATGCCAATGGGACGGGTTCTCCTGTTGGCGTAGGTAATCCACCTCCTCGAGAGGCAGTCGCTAGTCTTCTATTGCCCTAGCGCTGTCTACAGTGTAGGTCAGGTCAGCTTAACGAAGTTGCTCAGAGGTGTGGATTTTTCACACCCCTGAGTGACCTAGCTGGGTCAACCTCCTTTTTAGTGTAGACTAGGCCTTAGTTCATAGGCCTATTTCATTGCTAATAGTTTGATGCAGCTGGTGCCGGACAGGGCCCCCCCGGAGATCCCAGTTCTGCAGGGAGGGAAGCATTCCAGAGATACTAGGTTTCATCCCAAGAAAATGGGGCTGGGGCTGAGGCAGAGAACCTGCTATGTGGTATCTTTTGCTGTGCGATCCCTGAGGCGCCAGTGCCCTCCCTTTTGGGAGAAAACTCCTCCATCCTCCTAGTGCTTCCCATCTTCAGAGCCCTTTTCCGACAACTCCTTAAGATAAAGACTCATTGGCAAGATAGAAGATAGGAACCCAATAGGCTGATAGGGGAAGGGGTATGTAAAAAAAAATGGCCAAAGAATGAGCAGGCAGAAGAACAACAAGTTCTGGAAGAAAGGAATGCCTTGGAAAGAACACCATTAAGGATTTGTCCCAGTGGGGAGTGTTACAAATAGCCTTGGACAGTGCATTCAGGACAGTTTAATTTAATGAGCCAATTTTAGATTTACAGATTTCCCATTGCATACTAGAGCAAATTCAAAGGATATCTTCCAAACAAAGTGTTCCTGTGCTGTCTTGCCCATATATAGAAGCAAAACCAAACTGGCAATTAAAACTGCAAAAGCTGCCAAGAGATAGGCAATCCAAAGTGATAAATATATAGGGAATGGGGGAAAACCTGCCTTTTAAGGCCTTGGAGAGTGAGCGAGTATGATCTATAGTACACAGATGCTGCCGGAATATTGCTTTGCAGGTTCTGCAGTGGAAGTTTGATTTTTAAAGATCAAGAAGTTTGTGGATTTTGGATTTTCACCTGTTCCAATCCTCGTTACTAGAGTTGTTTTTTGTTGTTCTAACTAGCAGTGTATAACTTTTAGAAGGTTCACGTCCAAGTTCATATTGAGCCTTAGAGTTCTCTGCTATCACTCTGTTTCCTGGATGTTTTTGTAGCTTAGTCATCAGTTGCTGGTAGGTTCTGTTCCTGCAGCAATCAAAACAAAGTAAAATAAAAAACAGAAGCAGCATGCAATACAGAGATTGCAGGCCTCATTTTCATGATTGCCTGCTACGCTGGGTGTAGTCAGTAGGAGCTGTGGGTTCTCAGCACCTCTGAAAACCAGATCATGATGAAAGAAGCTCATCTTAGTTTTTGAGAAGATGGGACCTAACATGTCTCAAGTTAAATGATCATTTATTTCTTTAGGCCAAATTCGCCAAGGATCTCTGCTGTTTCAAACTAGCAAACAATTGCAGAACCTCTGCTACCTTGTTGACAATGCAAAGTGGCCACACTCTCTCATGTGAACAAAGGCCGGGTTGAGGAGATCAACATGTGCCATTGCAGCACCAAAAGAGGGTGCACTGACTAATGTAGACAGGGCCTGGCTGGCTAGTAAATCCATTGATTCAGTCAGTCTCCCCTTAGCAGAGTTCCTGTTGTGACCAATGGGCTGTTTGACCAGCCTGTTGACAGAGGTGCATGGAGAGAAGTAGTGGTAATACTGCTTACCCTCCGTAGGGCAGTCATTACACCTCCCTGTGCCAGCTATGCTGAATTCTCACCATTTGCAATTAGTAGCAGGGACCATGCAACATCTGCAAGAGCTCATCTAGGTTTATTTGGTCCTGCCTCAGTACAGGAGGGTGGGCTAGATGACTTCTCAAGGTCCCTTCTAGCTCTATGATTCTGTGATCTGTAGAATCCTTTCTTACTGCTCAGGCTGGAAGACAAACAACTTTCCCATATGTCTCTCGTTCCCATATGTCTCTCTTCGTTCTTCCTCATTTTCCTAGTCATCAGAAAAAGGTCTTGGAGCCCCAGCTAAATCCATTTACTTTATGATCTTTCAGAGTTCCAGTATCTGCAAAACAGCCGTGCACGCTGGAGTCATTAAAGACGAGACTGGCGGTTATGTGGATGTAATGCCTGTGGACAAGAAGAAAAACTATGTTGGCTCTTGGAAGAATGGCGTCCAATCTGAGAGGTAGGGTCACTTTTCTTTTTTGTGATCAGTTTGTGAAAATGTGGATGATGGGAATTGAATATACAAGGTAAGTGATTCTAACATGTTGCTGTAAACTCAGAGAAGCAAAAGAACAAAACAGTGTGTGTCATCCCTTCTTTGCCTTTTGCAGCTGAATGCATTACTCTTGGACTCTGTATATTAAGGATGTAATACTATTAAGCTTCTCCTTCATTTACTAATGAGTTTAAACTAGTCAAAATATGAATACACTGTTAATAAATTTCAGGTATACAGTGGGTATACAGCACTTTAAAATTTACTCTGGTTTTTAGCAAAGTCATTATTAATTAATGTTGGGGGAGCAGTTTCACATGAGTTTTATCCTAAAACATTCTGGCAAATTAACACCACTAAAAAGATAAACACGTGGTCTGCATCTTTCATCGTACAGTCAGCTTTGTGGCTTTCACTTGGGAATTCCACTACTGAGTTCTGGAAAGTCTAATATATTTAATAGCATAAGAACATGAGAATGGCCATGCTGGGTCAGACCCATGGGTCCTTTAGCCCAATATTCTCTCTTCCGACAGTGGCCTGAATTTGTTGACTAGAAGTAATTTCTCTGTTCTTGTGGAAAGCATTCTAAATCAATCAACGTGCCAGCACACTCTCTTGAGAGGATAAAATAGTGCTTCTGAATAGTGGGTTGTACCTTCATGTGACAATTCCTGATTCTTTTTTGGGGATGGTCCAACCTGTCTGTCTGTCTAATGTGTGTGTAAAGAGAGAGAGAGCATGCATGCACATGCTATAGACTTTCATGCCTTCAAATCTACTACAGAGTAGTTGAGGAGATGCATGGAATAAAGCTGGCATCTTCTTAAAACAAGGCCGGTGCGCTATTCAGGGGTCGGTTTGGATACAGTTATCATTCTGCATCACATTTTTTGCAGTTACACCGTGCAAACGTTTTGTTTGTTTCAATTTGTACATGAACACGCCCCCTCAAGATGTTTGCTCAGCCACTTGTCAATGGTGAATACATTAAATCCTTAACACACAAGAGAAGAACTCTTCAAAAAGGCGGAGATTTTCAGATCTTGCTGTTTTGCAGACCTACATTGTCCACCCTCCTACTCTGATGGAGCAAGCGACTGCAGGCTTTAATGCCCAATTATGTGCCTGACTGGTCTGTTGAATGTACAATTGGTGCAGCTGTATGTGAAACCCACTTGAATGTAGGCACACATTTTGCACGTGCAGCACTCTGAAAATGCAACCCAACAGATTTAATAATCTCACTTAAATTCAGAGTGTGAAAACGGTCACAGTTTGGCTCAAGGAGAGGGGAGAATGAGACTCAGCTAAGCTTCCTCTGGTTAGCAGATAGCGTTTGGGAACTGTACTGATGGGAATCTGTAGGGTTGCCATCTCTAGTATGTGTGGGATGCAAGTGCATTTACCAGGAACAAACCCTCTTTTTTTAAAAAATTGGAATTGGCAGTGGACTGGAAACTGCCACTGTTATGTTCTTCCTAACAGTTCCTTGGAAAACACAGTGTAATTAACACACAAGGAAGAAGTTATTGGGTTAATTCCACCAGTCCAGCAGGAGAAGTGTCTGTTGCTCAGTCCTGTTAGCAGGAATGATTAGGAGGAAGCACAGTGTCCAGATTTTTCTTTCTCTCCCTCGCTCCCCCCCACCCTCCTAGGGGTGCTGGACTGAGAAATATTTCCCAAGACAGTTTACATCAGGAATTAGTGAAAAGAGAGGCCTCTAGAGTGAAGACTGTCTCCAGAGACCCAGCTGCTTTTATTTTTCCCAGTGGGTGCTCCACCTCCGCTCCTGCCCCGAGGCTCCGTCCCTTTCCCCAAGGCCCCACCTGGCTCTGTCTCTTCCTGCCCCCATTCCGCCCTGCTCTCGCCCCGCCCCCACTCCACCCCATCCCCTGAGGCCCCCTTCCTGCCGTTTACTGCTCTCTGCTCTCCCCCGAGCACCTCCTGCCAGCCACCAAACAGCTGATCGGTGGCCCTGACGAACAGCTGATTGGTGCTGACGCCAAACAGCTGTGGCTTGTGGGTGCTGAGCGCCCCCTATATTTTTTCCCATGGGTGCTTGAGCCCTTGAGCACCCATGGAGTCCGTGCTTATGGATGTCCCTCAATCTTTATGCTTTTGCTTTTGGTGTGGTACTCATGGCCTCCTTGTCACTTGCACTGACTCCCTTGTCGTGGTGATGGCTCACTGGTCTCCCGTATTGAATCATGTGGGAGGTGGTCGTGTAGGTAACAGCTTTTCAGTGCACTCTTAAGTTTCCCCAGCTATGAATTAGTGCCTTTCCATGAAAAAAACAAGCATCAGGGCTCAGTGTGGTAATGGAAACTCCTGAACTGGGAGTAATGGAAGCTCAAGTGCTTCAGAAATTCAGAATGCAGATGTGCAAATTAAACATGCATTCAAATCAAATGAATAATTGAAACCACTGATTTCCTTACTGACGTGACTATGTGGGGAGCTAATGCATCTCCCTAAGGTTCATAATGATCGTTCTTTTTCAGCTTGAAGAGTCCCAGCGAAGGGATGGCTTTCCGAATTTTTTCCGTGAAGCAATAAATTCCCCGGGAAGGTGCAAGTTTCTTCTGGAGAACAATCCACCGATCTTGAGGGACAGCAACATTCATTTGATGGCATCTGCTCTGAACACATTCTCCTTGCCAATTTCTTTCAGGGAAGAAAGGTTCTGACTCAACTGTCCATGTCACATCTGCACCAGTTCAGTTTTTTTTACAAATTCTAGGGCATTCAGACTGTTGTAACTCAAATTCCAAAAGAGGTGTGCTGAACAGCTCGACTGTGGATTAATTTACAACAAATATCGGAACCCCCAGCTGGTCCACAGATAGTGTTTTAGGACTTGAAGTACCTACCCCAATGGAAGTACCAACACATGTTGGCAAGGTGGAATATGTAGTGCGGATGGTTGGCCCTTTAAAAAATAGTTTTAAAGCTGCTCCTTTTGTGGGGTGGGGCATATAACTTCTTTGGAACTGTATGGCGGGGTTGGCTGTTCTGTTTAAGAGCAAAACCTTAGTGTTTTCCTAATCAGCTCGCATGTGCATAGGAAACGTTGAGTCAGGTCTGCGGCATATTGCATTAGGGCAAGTGGTGTCATGATGTAACATGCGATCAGAGGTCCTGTGGCTGCCTGAAGGACTCCTGGAGATGAGGTTGTCTGAAAAATGTGGAGAAAGTAAGAAAAGGTGGTGAAGATCCCCGCCCCTGGGAAACAAGGACCCCAGCCAACCACAAATGCGGTGTTGGTGTTTGCTGGCCAAACATTAGCAGATCGTTAGGAATTTGGGTGACCTATGAGAAGTTGTGGAATTAGAGCTCCTGTCCTGGCACATCTCTGTATTATGCTACCCACCTTTTTTTTTATTTACAGTTAAATGCAATTTATTGTTCTATACAGCAGTGCTGGTTTTGTCTGTAGTAGTTAAGCAGTGATAAAAAGTTAATCTTATTTTTGTTAGAAATGGGTGCATCTATATAAAGTGTGTTCACTTTATCTTTATGAAGTTTTTTTGTACAGTTCTGAGGCTTTAAATATACGGAATAGGGCTGGATTGTTTGCTTGCATACAATCGAGACCATATAGTGATCTTAGCTTCCAACATGATTGCTGTGTCTGTGAGCATCTGGAATCCAAAGTGTTGGGTTTTAAAAACTTATATGTCTTCTAATGAATTTATATTTAATAATTTGAGTCATTCTGCTATGACCAGCTGTTTAAATACATCACATAGAATGGTTTAGAGGGAATTAAAACTAGCCACAAAATCAGCCTAGGATGAACTGCCCTATAAGACAATATAGCAATCCTGTCATTTATGGCTGAAGCTAATTTATTCCCAACTTTTAGAGGGTTATTAGAATTGGTCTAAGCACAAATCTATTTTCCCCTTAATGGTCAGACATACAGTAACTTACATTAACATTGAGAAGGCAACATAACCTTTAACTCTTTGGTTGATGTAAAAAGATATCCCTTCACTCAGTAACTCGATTGTAGTATGTAACATATGAGAAATATTTCACTTACTGTTACAATTATTTAGCCACTCTATCTGGCAGATGTTTCATGGCTTTCCATAGCCTTCCGATGTCCAGGCTATGTTTAAATTAAACTAGAGGGATAGGAAAACCAGCTATAAACCTATTCCAAAATGTAGACCAATAGCATTATATGGATAAGCACTTATTTAATTTAATTTTTAAACTCCATGAAATCAGCAAGGAAATTACATTTGTCAGTCCCTTTGTTTCATAACTGAGGTTTCCTTTCCTTGTGAAATCTGAGTTTAAAAAGAGACCTTTCATAACTGAGCAGGTTTGCACATTTTCGAGAAGTTACACACAGCAAACCTATTTTGGAATGGCTCTGGTAAACACCTATTCTTTATTTATTTAATGTAGTCTTTTAAGGTATGTTGTGTTTGCTTTATAGTAAGAAAAACCAGTTACATTTTCAAGGTAAATGTATGTGACAAATAGTTGGAATGCGTCTTTAAAAAGTACCTGTTCGGAAGCGACTAAAATCTTGGCAATGAGATAAGTCAGGTTCCTTGTTTTGTCTATTATGAATAATAAGATTGGAAACAGGCTACTCTAATCCCACCAAATTTTGTAGTATGATTCTGTGGCCTCCATAGGCCAAATAGGCGTTACACCTTCAATAGCTGAGGATAGAAATGGAAAATGCAATAAGGATCAATCAAATGTCCACTGAATTCATGGGTGTTAGATTGGGCTCATGTTTAGTTCTATTGTACAACCCAGTCAAAGTAGAACATCATTGCGCCATTG